TATATATATATATATAAATAAATAAAAACTTACCAATCTTCATAAATTAACAAAAGTAGTCTTTTTTTTTATACTTATTATTATAAATTATTATAACTATTTTACAGTTTTTGTTAAACCTAAAATGAAAACTACATTGCCAATTGTTAGATTTTTTTTTTTGGTTAGTGCAAAATAATTTAAAAAGGAAAGTACATAATGAAACTTATATTTTTGTAAAAAAAAATAATTAGGAAACATACACCAAAATATAATTATAAATATATTAAGTCTGTTTAGAAAGCACATGGAATCCATTTAAACTAATGAATGCTTTAAGAAAATAGTTAGCATCTGTACATCTTCACCAGTTATATATGGGTTAGCTAACCTTACCTTAAGAATTAATTTTCATATTGCAATCACTTAACATTTTTGTAAGGATTATGAGATATTCATGTTACAAAATATGGTATAAGAAGTTTTGCATATCATCAATTTCATTGTTAATGTTTATCATTTTGATGGTTAGAGATAATCAAATATTAATGCCATCTTTATCCAATGATTTTTACATTTCATCATTATTTTGATGAATAGCATTAGCTGCAATCTGTAGAATTCGTCATAAGAATGTGTATCATAGTGTCATTGTTAGTACAGCAGATTTCTATTGCCTCAGATTCATACCACATTCAAATATTCTTTTTTAAAATGTTTACGTTTTTTTGTTTATTTTTCTGTTACAGAGACAAGTACCTTAAAGAGTGCAAGTCAGAAGTATTTCCAAAATATCAAACTTTTTAAAGCAAGCCACTGTTGACTACTGTTTTTGGCCTTACAGATTGGCTAAAGACAACTTTTCAGGTGGAGAAACCGGAGAGTGGTACGAGACCGCTCACACAAGTTAATATTATCAAATGTCTTCTAAAATTAAAATATGTTCATCTGATCATTATTTTTTCTAGCACCGAGAGAACTGAAAACTATATAAATTGGTAAATATGAGGAACATACACACACTGGGTATCCCATCTTAAAGAATTATATGTTAAATATACTTCAAAACTAGGGTTATTATTTGAAAACAGTGATGAGATAAATATCTAGTACCAGGAAAGAAACAAAGAACAAATGATTCTTCATAATAACTAGTACTTCAGTTATTAAATAAAAAGTATTTAATTCACTAAATTCTTCTGCTCCAAAAAATACAGAGAAATGAAAAAAAAAAATACAATTTCAACAAGAAATAATGATACATAAAACTCATTTCCTTTACTAAAAACACAACTCCATAAAGAAATGACACCAACTGACTATTGCAATAAGATTATTCACATTTAAATCCAGTATCATGTACTGTATATTTAAACATATTTTAATCTTCACTGGTCTTGAACTTACACAGAAATATTAGAACACTAGATTAGATATCAATATCAACTTTCACCATCTAAATGTTTATGCTTCCAACTTTTGCTTTTGTTTGATAACCTTATTCACAAAATATTTACAGTGCGATTAAAGGCACAAAATATTAAAATGTTAATGTCAACTCTCAATAGCAGATCTCTGAAAAATTATATATATATATATATATATATATATACACACACACACACACATATATATATCTCAATTTCAAACATAATAAAATTGTTTGTATACAACATTTTTCATCAGATTTCTACATTTTGTTTATGAGTTTGGTAAATACAGCATAAGGACTTTATTAAAAGTTTATGGCACAGTTATAAGTCACGTACTAGACTGATAGAAATTCTACTTCACACAAAGAAACTGCTTTTATATAACACAGTTCTTCTATGTCAATTTTTTTTAAAATACAAACCACATACTTTGTTCAGGAAATTTAGTATAAATACAATTCAAGCTTCTTGGCTAACAGGATATAGTTCAAAAACTCTTAATTTGATTATTGAAAAAAACTTGATTAACTAAAATGTGCTTCAAACAATTGTACACAGCAAAGTCTTAAATTTTACAATTCAAATACTTTAATAACTTTACTTTTTTTTTAAATAAAGACCTTTGAAAAAATAAAATATAAACACAATGATCTGTTACAAATCAAAAATTTTCAATGCTGCTTTATTGATAAAACAATTTGGCAAACTATGCTGAGTACATGTAGAAGAAACATAAATGCTTAAAGAGGAATAAACCAGTCAATAATTGTTTACTATTCCATCCATATGAAAAATGTTTGAAGAAATGTCAATCATAAGTTTTCTCCACTAAATAAAAAAACAACAACAAAAGATTGTCACAAAAACTAATCAAATTCTCATATGGATATTTCTGAAGACTAGAAAACTTAATAAAATATATTGTGTGTGTAACAATAAGGAAATATTTCTATACTATCAGAAAAAACCCCCCAAAAACTGACAAATTTACCAAAGTTACCTTATGATAATCTGAAGCAGTATACTTAACTAAAAATATTTATTAACAAAAAGAAAAGCATACGTTTTGATTGGAAGTCTTCCATACCATTCAATAAATTCTACCAGCTACAATCTCACTAAAACTATATATTCAGCATTTATCAGATAAAACTAATGCAAACAATTACATCTAAGCTAACACGAACCAAGCTCTCTAGTAAAAAGAGTGCAGCAAAATTTACAGATAGCTCTCTACAAACTGACATCATCCACTAAATCTCTATCATTCATCTTTAAGTAGAATCAATACGCACACACACACACACCCAGTTCTAGTATATTTTTATTCTACTAAAGTTATTTAAGTTTAACTTTACTATAAATTATAATTTTACCAACAAAAGTTGATTAGCCTTCACCAGTTTTACTGGGAAATAGTCATTGTTTTAACCCTCTCACAAAGGGCTCAGTGGATTACACCACCTTTGTGATCCTGAAGTAACCATCAGTTTCCATACTACAACTTTCACTGTTTTGTGTATCTTCAAAAAATTGGGCAAGCTTTGAGTAAATATAACAAGTCTTTTGTAGACAAAAAATTAGGTTTTTAAGTATTTCTACTAAACATTTGTCCATGAATATATAGTCATAGTATTGACTGCTCCAATGTAAAATGATTTTCATGATAAAATTAAAAATACTTTTCTTCACCTGAAATTGTCAAGTTTCATTTGCATAATCTCTAAAACCTCCTAAATAAATATCAAACATCTTTCTTCAGTAAAACTTCTTAATTTATCTGTTATTTTCTCTACCCAAGTCTATACACATCAGTCAATTAGACCTACTTCGTACCTACCATAAAAAAATATGAAATAGATCTAAATTACCATTTTTCTTTCTAGAATGACTGGATATTGTAACAGGAAATTACAATTGTTTATCCTAAATAGCTTAAAGCTTGTATCAGTATACATCTGTTTATACTTAAATTTTATTGTTTATTGACCTTTGACCCATGTCTAACTAATAACCCCACCACTCAAGTTGTAAAAAGCTCAATTTACCATATTATGTAATGCACAAGATGCTTGTCAACTTACCTCATGAAAAAATATTTTTCATTATCATACCTAATCTGACCTAACAAGTTTCTAATTTTTACATTTTAGTGCTATGGTACTTACCTGTGTCTTTTTTTTTTTACTTTTAACCGCTGATGAAAGATAAGCGTACTTCTTAAATACTAATGGTACTAGTACACTAAATAATTTTTATTTAATCAACCAATGCACCTAAGAACATATGATAATATCATACACACAAAGAGAAAAATGTCTTATAGCTATCATAATTTATCTGGCTTTCTACCTAAATGATATGAACCTTTAAAATTTTAGTTAAGCTTGTTGATGTGAATACAGCTAGAGAAATTTTCGAACTGGAGGTGAATAAACAGTACTATATAAAGAAAACAACATAATTTCATACATCAGTTGATAGATTGAAACTTTGGTTTTCTATTGGTTATAGATAATATAGTATAAAATGTCAGAATTATTGGCAATTTGTGAAAGAGAGGATGTGACAGGTGGGCATAGCAAGTGGATCTGGTTTTCTAGTTTATAACTCTGTAAACAAATAAAATTAGCTATAAAAATTATGCTTTGCCTTAGTAATATCTATATTATATTGAGAAATTTATGTTAAATTCTGTACTTCTCAGAGGGGTGGAAAATATATTAGAGAAGAGGGAAGACCTAGATAACAATTCTCATACTAAGGGAGATTGAGGATTTGTTTAAAATATTTCCTTATTAAAATTAAGAATTTAAAACTTATATAATATTAAAATTTTATTTATTAACTATGCCAAGTTTATTAATATACAACGATAATAAAGTGGTTTCATTAAATTTTGAATGTAATTCTCTAAAAAGTCATGACATGCACACTTTGAGCCACCCATAGTGTGAGGGTTAATGTATGCTTCATTTTTTTTAAAGTTTCTTTTTATTGCCTGTTCAGCATAATAACACAAAGAAATATAAAAATCAGTACATACTTATAACATGACAAATAGCTTTTAATCTTCTTTTACTTAAAAAAGAAAGTGCTAAGTTACTGCTGAGCTTAAAGTATATACAACTGCCTATGACATTAGTTAAAATATGTAATCAGCAGTTACAATTATTCTATATTTAATAAGTTATATGAACAATGGCTAATGAAACATTTTCTTTTTGATATGGAAACCTAACCACTAGAAAACAATTCTTAACTATAATTTGTTTTCCATTTAATAAACTGCATAATGTTTTTCTAAATCAGCTCATTATAAATGATCAATGCTGGGATGTGCAGTTAAACATGCTGTGGCTGTATTGATTCCTTTGAATCAACAGACTTCCGTTTTTTCAGAAGCTGATATAACATTCCCTTTTTTGAGGCATTGTCTGGAAATGAAACAAAAATACTGAAGTTGTAACTGTGGAAATAAAATAAACACTGTAGCTGTAATATTACCTGAAATGCCATTATGAATGGTAAAATGAGAGGAAAAAAATGCATAGCATGCTTAATTAGTGAAATAATTAACTTTAAATTAAGAAATTTACATACTGCTGTTAATTATATGTTTCATTTTATAATACTTAAATTTTCTTTGTTTGATGTTAAAAGCTTTAGATCACAGCACGGTCAATTTAATTTGCATTAACTCAGCTGTTAACATATTGTTTAAAGCCACATGAAAAGATTACTGTTAAAGCAATGAAAGAAAGTATGAAGTAAAGGTTAAACAACATAAGTTACAATTAGTTCCGTTCAGATTTCAATCATAAAAAAAAAAGTTAACATACAACATAACCTACTTGTTTCATCATTTGGCACTTGAGTAGCTGTACCATTTTCAACTGGACTTTTTTGTTCGGGCGAGCATGTTCTTTTCTCTGAGAGAGGTAATGACAGGTCTAAGGGATTATCTGAAAATTCACCATTTATCAATTTATTTTGAATCATTTCATTACATGTGTGTATTCTAATTATACAATGTTCATAAATGAACTTTGAAAGTTTTTTTTTTAAACTAAAACTTTTACTAATTGCTTTTTCTAACTTTATATACTTTATGGAAAGGTGTACAATAGTAACAACAATAAACCAAACCACTCCACCTTTTATTTGTTGATTATTTTGAACAGGCACAATAAAAAAGTAAAAAACAATCAAACAATAAACACATCACAACTGGTGGTGGTAGAGTACATGTTGCACTGTCACAGATGCAAAATGTAAAAAATAAAATCACTGTTTATACAGTTAATTTATCATTCATCTTATATATTTTTTGTAATTTAAATATTTAACGTTCTCTGGAGAGAACAGACAAAAATTATAAACATATCTTGAAACTCAAAAGATACAAACTGACAGTAATTTAATCTGAAACAATTAACCTTCTTGCTATTGGTAGGTCAAAGTGCACATGTCAACTTTTTAGTTACATTCAAAATTTAATGAAACCACTTTATTATCATTGTATATTAATAAACTTGGCATCAAAACATAGTTAATAAATAAAATTTTAATATTATATAAGTTTTAAACTCTTAATTTAAATATTATATAAGTTTTAAATTCTTAATTTTAATAAGGAAATACTTTTAACAAATCCTCAATCTCCCTAGGTCTTCCCTCTTCTCTAATATATTTTCCACCCCTCTGAGAAGTACAGAATTTAACATAAATTACTCAATATAATATAGATATTACTAAGGCAAAGCATAATTTTTGTAGCTAATTTTATTTGTTTACAGAGTTATGAACTAGAAAACCAGATCCACTTGCTATGCCCACCTGTCACATCCTCTCTTTCACAAATTGCCAATAGTTCTGACATTTTATACTATATTATCTATAACCAATAGAAAACCAAAGTTTCAATCTA